GACGGCACTGTCTATTTAATATCCATTTTAATATCATATTCAAATATAAACCTATTTCGCAAAAGTGGTCTGGTTCCTTAAAGTTTCCCAACCAAAATTTTGTGTGCGTTTCTCGTGTTCCTTATGCGTTCTACATGATCATATCACCTCACTCTCCTTTCTTCAATAAATTTATGAACAGGTCCCAGTCCGAGAAAAGGATGGAAGGATCCTGTCCATATGGACCTGTCGTCACACAGAACACTAAATAAATATAAAATAAGAGTGAAAACTATTGAAGCTCCTCATTACGTATTTTCCCCGTTCCCGTGTTACGTCCGAACATTGCGCCAAAATATTACTCCCAGCGCTTTGCGATTTTTTGTGTGTGAGAGGCCTGGGTCTCACTCCCACGTACATGCAAAACTCTGGCGAATATTTGATCTCATTTGTTGATCTGGATGCAAGCGCCTGTCACGATGACATTATATTTTAGAGCAGAAATAATTGGAAGTGAGGCGAACAACGCGCTTAGATTGCCAAGGTAAGTAAGTGTACGTGACGTTAATGGCGTAGCTGAAGTGCAATATTGTAATTAGAAGTGTTATTGAATGTAATAGGATTATTTGTAATTAAATGCAAAGTGAATGGTTGTGAATCAAACCGCTCACTGCGTTCTTACGACACGCGGTAATTCTACGCCACTTGCTAATCGTGTTAGCAGCGACTTCAGGGTTATTTTGTTCTGAATCGCAGACGATCACTCAGGCTTCCTAAACCCTTCGCCATTGTGTCCCGCGCAACATGTGGGGTGGTGGGGTGGTGGTGGAGGAAACCCTTTAAAAATTAAATGAACCTCGGGTCTGATGCGAGTAATTATAGACTGCCAGTTAGATGGTTTCGCTCGGTCTGCCCTGGCTTACACAGGGCGGATATTGCAAGCCGGTTCAGACAATCCAGTATTTCATTTTCCAAGATTTCACAGAGGGTATATTTAAATGGATACAGGAGCGGAGGAGGGGAAGGTTCCAGTAACGCAACACTCACAAGTCAAGTTCTTAGCATTGACGCCAGATGTCAAAATGTTCATTTTTAAAAGTGCTGCTACCGTAACGTAGCTTTTAGAAATAGTTGTGTTACTTAAAGTCAAAATAGCAGACCTTGTGATGAAGTTGAAAGTGGATATTCTTTGTTTTGGGGTTGAAATAATTTAAGAAACAAACGCCAGCACACACAAGTGAGGCAAAACAAAAGATGGCGGGATGAGATCTCAGTGTTGCCACACTTCAAAAAAGTTCTGTCACCGGTTGTAAAAACAGTGGATGGCTGACCGAAGTGTCTGAAGGAAAGTTAGGTTAGGTTAGTTTAGGTTAGGTTAGGTTAGGTTGGGTTAGGTTAGGTTAGGTTGGGTTAGGTTAGGTTAGGTCTAGAAAATGATCTCGCTAAATTTGGATCTGTTGGTAGAGTTACGTCGAAGTTCTTGGTCGTTTGTCCACAGACTTTAAGAATGAAACACAGATTATTCCTGAGGTTCTACAAAACAAACGCCAGTTAAATCCATCGCAAGGGAGAGACGCCTCTACGACAGTGTCACGTGGCCATTTGTCTTTGTGCTAAACGCATCCTAGCACACGGTTCCGAGATTTCGGGTACTCACATCAGTGAAATTACCTAATCTTGCCTCCCGGGACGCAACGTTTCGGTGTAACCAATCGCTTCCAGCTTCGAAGACGTAGGCAATTTGATTCTCCGAAATGTCGTTAATCACATGGAGTCACAACTCGTAATAACATAATTTGCAGAAGACATTATTTCCAGCATTG